GTTTGTAGCAACCGGGAGATGGAGTAGGCTGCTTTGCTAATACAGATGTCACTAATTTGTCACGGATGTTTTTAGGTCTTCTGAAGGCCATGACTGGTGGTGAGGGAAATACTTTTTTAAGATTTGAATCATTTTCTATAATTTTCCAATGCTTCTGAACAATGGAAGACACATTTTTAAAATCAGGATGGTAAGTGAGTACAAGGGGTGTTCTGTTAGCTGCTTTATTCTTATCTTTGTACTCTAGAAGTTCTTGGCGACTAGTTTTGTTTGCTCTTTCGAAAGCGCTATCAATGATGTTGTTATTGTATCCTCGAACAACTAGATGTTTACGTAGTTGTCCAAGTCTAGCATTTTGCGTATTTTCAGTAGAGCATATTCTCTTGATTCGCAATGCCTGGCTGAATGGGATGCCACGGGAGCAGTGTTTAGGATGGCAACTTTTAGGAGAAAGGAATTGATGTTTGTCCGTTTGTTTGGTATGAAGGTCCGTTATAATGGTTCCGTTCTTGATGTAACTCGTAGTGTCGAGGAAGTTTATTTTCTCCATAGATGATTCATATGTAAATTTTATTGAATGGTGGAAAGAGTTACAGTGTCCTAGAAATTCATTAAGATGTTCTTGTGAATATATATATATGTAGGACGCTGTATTGCATTGGTCACGTTGAAATGCGATGGTCTGCGCAGAAGTGCAATGGTCTATTAGACCCGTGATTGCTACAGACGTCCAATTATTATGAGAGTTTAATTTTTTTTATAGTTAGTATATATAAATACCACAAATTCAATATTTTCTCCAGTTGCAGTAAAAACCATCTACCGAGTAATCTATCTAACTTCTTGTGCTCATTCACAGCAGCCGTATAGATATTTCGTTTATTTTGTTTCGTTCTGAATAATCAAGAAGTATATGCACTTCAAACAACTTCCACGTTTTTCAGTCATTGCAATTAGTACTGGTTAATTGTAAAGGAAAAAACCTTATGTAGTTTCTATAGTTGTCAATTCCTGAACGATTGTATACACGACTAATTTTTTTGTCTAAGCTATTTACTAAGTACACTACAACGTTACAGTTAGGACTGAAAATGTAATAACTATTTACCATGACTGTTTTAAATTAAACAGTGATTAATGTAGAAGCTGGGACTATTACACTAATGTTAGTGTTTTCCTTAAAGAAAAAATGAAAAACTACTTCTGGCAAACAAATTGATATCTACATTGGCATGTAAACATGAAAAATATAGATTATGTAGTCCATTGCACTTCAGCGTTACCACCATTGCACTTCGGCGTAGCAAACAACAAGATAGTGTCACAATGCCACCATCACACTTCAGAGTCAAACCATCGCATTTCAGCGTGACCATCGCGGTTCGGAGTACCATCGTGATTCAGATTCCTACATACATACATGTAAAATAATTTAAAGCGTTGTCAGATCTATTTGTGTAAATAAAAGGAGATGTAGGGTATCATAAATAAGACAGCAACCAAATTAACGCCAACGCTAAACAAGGTCAACACTCTATTTTCTTCAATGGATACATGTATTTACAATATTTAAAAAAATAGATAATTGTGGACTCCCAAAATATGCAATCAACACAAAATCCCTTAAATAGAAAAATTAAAATACACAAATTTAGGAGACCTTAAGGCAATGAGCAGGAACGAACTCCGTTGCTAACATCTGAGAAAACAATACTCACAGCTTCATGTACATGTTTGTATTATAATATTATGACAACAAATGGTATATAGTTGAACTTTGGTAGATGCATGTGAATAGTGCTGGCGAATGTTCAAAACCATAGTTTTAGTAAATATGTTTTGCCATGGTCCAGAAATTAGCCAGTCATATATTTATAACATAAAAATAAGAAGATGTGGTATGATTACCAATGAGGTAAATATCCACCAGAGACAAAATGACGAAGATGTTAGCAAATATAAGTCAACCTACGGCATTTAACAATGCGAAAAAATCATACCACATTGCAAGCTATAAAAGGATTCGACATGAAAAATGTTAACAATTTCAAACGACAAAACCAACTGCATATCATTGATTTATGTACAAAACAATCATAAACGAAAAGCAAATATAATACACAACAACAAACGACAACCAATGTAATACAGGCTCATGATATTGGTACAGCAAAACATCGAACTTGGCGGGATTAACCATGTTTGCGGGCGCCCAACCCACCCCTAACCTGGCACAGTGGTGTTAAAGCGCAACATACATCAATAAAAGCGATGTTCCTTTGCTTTTTGTGTTTTTGCTGTGTATGAATTGATTTTGAGTCATGGATGGATACCCCATATCCTTTCTTTTATATTATGTATGAACTAATTGTGAAAACCAGTTGAAAAGGAGTTGACTCATCAGACTTGGAGAGTCACACATGTATTCACTTTACTTCATAACATGCCTTATACACTACTGGAACCGGCTCAAGCCAGATATAGGAGCAATTAGTTCGGGTATAATAAAGATTCAGTGGGATCTCAAACGTTTGTGAGTAATTTTATCGGAACAATTGATGAAAGATATTGATCACACTTTTCTCAAAAACAAACAATCAAACAGAGAGTAAATAAATTACATGTCTGCTGAAAAAAAAAAGTTTACCGAAATTAGAATAGGCAAAAGCGCAAGTGATTAAAAAAATTAAGCTCTTTCCAGGTGATAAAAATCGCCACACACAAAAAGAAAATGGTAACCCTTAAAATACTATATAGACCTTTCCAATGTTCCACTTCTTTTACCCCAATACAATATAATATATGCAGAGAGGAATATTCTGAATGGATGAAACTACAAATTAAAAAAAAAAAAAATCAATATAATAAGCTATTAAACGGCAAGCATTTTAGAAAAGCTATTACTTGTATTACCAATAATTAACAAGTTCAGGGTCGAATCCGATACCGATACCAATAGTATATGTCACATGTAGTTTCCGGTTGTAGTCACCTGTTACCTTCTGTAAATCCCTCTTCCTCTATCAGGAGAACCTGGAATTCTTCCAGTAGTTCTTTTATATCTATATGACACTGATATCTATATGACACTGTAGGGTACTATTTAACAAGTCTGTTTTCTTCCACCTCAATACCACTTTTGTTTTTGGTTAATTAGTTAAAAATTGATTTAGTTTATAGTAAGTTTGTTGTAGTAAGAAAACCAGGACGGGTTCAAACAGAAAGATTTTGAAAGCAGAGAAAACTGTGCACCTTTCAATCAGCATGACTTTATCAGATGACAATACGAATACTAAAAATCAATATCTAATTAAACAAATCTATATCTTCTGTAATCTAAAGATCCAGGAAAATTCCATCAAATTGTAAATAAATCGCATGTTGAAAAATAATGCCAATCACGAAAACATTAAAATTTAAGTGAAATAAATACTGTTTTATTAAGTCTCCCCTTTGACGAAGAGAGGCATACCGGTTTAGTAGTATTTATTCTTCAATTAACGTTTCTGGATCTTCTCTTCTCATACAATCTTTTTCCGAACCAAACCTTTTTTTTTATCTTTTTAAATTACTTTTTATAATAAGCATATTGGTGTATAACCATGGAACGATATGTCACATATTATCGTGACCTTCATGTGACTTTTTTTTTTTTTTTACCTCACGGTAATAATAGTTGATTTTATTAATATTTTCATGTCCGGAACATAACTTTTATATATTTTGACAAAGGTTTTTGATATCTGCAAATGGTGGAGCACATCTACCATGGATGATGATATTTGACCTTGATCTTGAAGGTCAAATTATTGATTTTAGATCGTCCACTTTAAAACCATGAATATTTGGAGGTCATATTAAGACCTTTCGATGCATTTAAATGTTGCCCCAGAAAGGCCAAACCCTACCCATCATATCATGAATTGTTAAAAGTATGAAAAATGGTTCCAACTAACCGACATAATTGCCTTGATAAGACCTAATCACCATTGATTTCGTTCACTGGTAAACAGGCCCCGCCACCTGAATATCAATTGTTAAATATCATGAAACCGGTTCATATCCTCACTCTTTACAGTGCACCATATATGTTTTCTAGGGTCCTATTATACCGTTAATTGTTAAGTATACCATAAACTGATGTTTTATTGCATTATAATACCTTTTCAGTACTAGAATGTCTTTGATGATTTTTTTACTGGAATTACTTCTAGTTTAATTTGAATAGTGTGTCTTCTTTTCAGTCCCTTTGTGCCCCTTAAAGGTTTGAACGGTAAGACGTCAAATCTCTCGTGTACTTTCAATATCCCCGCGTTTAGAAGCAGGCGGTATATTGTGATCCGGTTGTACGTCCGTTCGTCTGCAACTTATCCATCAACTTCCTTACCCAAACCGCATATTGTTAATCTTTTTACTTGTTGTATTGTAATGTTTCCTACATACGTTTTATATGGTATTTCGATAGGGCAAAGAGACGAAATGATTGAAGTTATCACTTAAATCGAAGTAAATGAATCTCCTGTCACAAACATAATCGTTACGGTGTGTCCTAAGTGTGTCGCACTTCGAATGGGATAGCAAGTGCATGGATGTGGCATCATCCGCTTGAAATACATGAGTATTCACTTTATTTTTAGCTTGTTTTTCTGTACTTATAATCACAAACATACAGTTATGCCGGTAGTGTCATAAACTTTTCACTTTCTTGATGTTGGTAAGTTTTAACAAAACACTCTCGTACAACTTTTAATATTGATTCCCAGATGTGTGGACAACTTTTTTTCTATCCATTTACATAATTCCTATAAGATTTTATTGTTTTCCCTATGAGCTGAGGTTGAGGTAATGGAATTAATTTCTTGTTTATTAGTTCAGAGGACTTACACAGCTTATGTTAAAAAAATTACCTTTTATTTTGCATAAAACAACGTTTCTCTATCAATTAAATATAATTCATTTTATTACAAAAAGGTAACTGATAAATTTAAAAATAGACTTACCAACAAAACGAACAATGTATGAGAACCATCCCAGGTAATAAAAGCTGTATCTACATACTACATCTGTGAAAGCAAGACACAGTACGAAGGAACTTACGTTCAACAGATTTGTGTTTTGAATGGATTGATATATGATCTCAAACAACGATTTTATTTTCTGAAAAAAAAAAAGAAAATTTATTAACAAAAAGTCAAATCAATCAATACCTAAATTGGGTAAGAACCATAAGGAATGAGACGGGGTAAAACCTGTTTGTGAGCGCTCAACCCTTCTCTAACATGGGACAGTGGTACATGTAACAGCAAAACGTAATAACAAACAGCAGCAATCAGTTGGAAATAGCTTGATTGGCACAAAGCACAAAAACAACAAACATAAAGATAAAAACACGAAGTACCGAATATATAAAAACTATAAGTTTTCTGAAAAAGAGTTCCTAGCTCATTGCAACTAATAAATAAACCATGTTTTCCAACTGTTGTAGTTTCACTAGTGAGTATGTAGATGAAACGTGCTTCCTTCGTACTAAATTTTAAAGGGGGTATTAGCTGTCAAATTCATGCTCACCGATTTGACTCAAATTCTCATATTTGATGTATAACGTACTAAAACGTATATCCAAAAATACAAAAGTCTAGAATAAACCCTTACCAGTGCATGGACTCGATAATATATATCAGCATTTCGTGTGTATTTTAGTCTAGACACCATCTAATTGACCATCGAGGTGACCTCCGAAGACTGCCGACGGCCATTTAAACATGAATATAAATATGAACAGATAGCGACCACGTGCAATTGGATTTTTCTAGGTCTGTTTGATTTCATGTTACAGGTTACGACAATATGTTAATCATCAGTTTTACCTGTATAAAACGATTTTTAGAGGATCGCATCAGTCAACGAAATGGTTTACCCTTGTTTCACTTTCAATGTTGACATTCTTTCCTTTTTTTTAAATAGCCGAACGCGCCTATAACATGCGTAACCTATCTCCAGCTGAGGGGTAAAATTGAAGTTCACATGAATACGGATTCACATAAGGTATTATTATTTACTTGCAAGTGAATAATACATCAGCGATGTTTTTTGAGCTTATTTTGGCAAATTAGTACCAAATTAACTGCTTGTAACGAAATATTGTTTCAAAATTCCGCTTTTATTAATACATGAAGCAAAAAGAATCGTATTTCAATTTATTGTCTAACTCGTAGGTAGCTAATGCCCCATTAAAACTGTTATCTTTGATGATTTTTTTGTAGGCCAAAATAGAGGAAAGTGATGGAGCATTTGATCACAGTAGACCGCGCTCGAATAAAAAAGCACAATGGACGAAGTTGTAGAGGTTATCAAGGTTATTACATTTAAACATAGTTATACCCACGCAGAAATTTTACTGCATCACTAATTCATTATGAGACTAAAAGGGTGCTGGAACGATTATTGTACATATATACGGGGGCGACCGAGATAAAATATCATGACTTTCAATGTACGGTATTTCATTCTTGTACGCGATAGCCCGTTTAGTTTCATTATTCATCTCTAATGAGTGTTTTAAAGTTAAAGAAAGGAAACGATGTGTGACAAACGGATTACCTGTAATATTTGATCCATATAAATATGATAATTATTAATTGTCTTTTGCCTTTCAACATTCTTGTAATTAAAAAGTAAATTCGATTATAAAGCTGAAATGCTTGTAAATAAAAGGAACACATTGTTTTCTTTTACTTCTTACCTTACCTATTCTAGAGGTGGTGTGAATCAGATGTGGATACTAAAAAATTCCAAAGATCTTTTAAAGTACATACAATCTAAGACACTTTCATCTTGCAATAGTATTAAAACACTTGACTTTTCTACACTTTACACAAGTATTCCCAATTCCAAACTAAACAACAAATTGAAAGTGTTGGTCCTGCTTTGTTTCATAAAAAAGAACGGCCAACATCGTATCTTGTCTTAGGGAGGGATAAATCCTACTTTGTAAAAAATCACTCCGATTCAAATAAAAAAATTCTCTGAAACTGACATTATCCAGATGCTTGATTTCTTCATTGACAACATATTTGTTACGTTTGGAGGACGTGTTTTTCAACAAACAATCGGCATTCCTATGGGAACCAACTGTGCCCCTCTTCTGGCCTACTTGTTCCTTTATTCCTATTAGGCTGACTTCATAAAGGAATTCTTATGAAGAAAGAAAATAAGTTAGCAGTATTCTTTAAGTTTACTTTCCGCTATATAGATGATGTTCTCTCATTAAATAATTCAAAATTTGGTGGCTATGTTGAACGCATCGCATCTATCCCATCAAACTTGAGAGAAAGGATACAACAGATATCCATTAAGTCTGCCTCATATCTTGACTAACATCTAGAAATTGACAATGAGGGTCGTTTGAAAACAAAACGTTACGACAAAAGAGATGTTTTCAGCTTTCCAATTGTGAACTTTCCATTTCTATGTAGCAACATTCCAGCAGCGCCTGCATACGGAGTATATATCTCCCAGTTGATACGATATTCCAGGGCTTGTATTTCCTATCATGATTTCCTCAATAGAGGGTTGCTGCTCACAAGGAAGCTATTAAACCAAGAGTTCCAAGTGGTGAAGTTAAAATCATCCCTTCGTAAATTTTACGGACGCCAACACGAATTGGTTGACCGTTATGGAATATCCGTTTCACATATGATAGCGGATATGTTCAAAATGTCGTAACTACAATCCCATCTCCTTTTCCCCGAATGTGACCTACCGATTTAGACTTATTACAGGGTTTGTACTAACATGAGCAGCACGACGGGTGCCACATGTGGAGCAGGATCTGGTTACCCTTCCGGGGCACCTAAGATCACCCACAGTTTTTGGTGGGGTTCGTGTTGCTCAGTCTTTAGTTTTCTATGTTGTGTTTTGTGTACTATTGTTTGTCTGTTGATCTTTTTCTTCTGTAGCCATGACGTTGTCAGTTTATTTTCGACTTATGAGTTTGAATGTCCCTTTGGTATTTTTTGCCTCTCTTTTTTCGGTTGCTCTCCACTGCAGCGAACTAGTATTTTATTAGTATATTTCCCAACAGAATAATTCGTAATCAATTGTAGTTTCAAATCAGATTTCGGAAGTGAGTTTCAAGATAATTCTATAAAAGTTTTCTTTAATTACATAAATCAAAATTTTAAGTGTCACAATAGAAATTTGAGCAAATGTATAAGTTTATTTTATGAGAACATTGAACGGTACTTTCTTTATTTTTATTAATTATCTCAATAACTATTGCTTTTGAATTTTGTAGTTAGATAGGTTTATCGATTTGTAGAATCTTTTAATTTTAACTTTATGTGACCTTGAGCCTTCATAGTAGTGTAACTAACATTGACGACAAGATGGTCGCGGTCGTCCTCTTTTGTTCTCAAAAGTTTTATTAAAAGCATTGTCATGGGGAATTAGCACTTATCACAATCATTCTTTGGGTAACCTTTTCCAAAGTTTTCCCCTTTTTCTGACAAACCATTATATTGGCTGGATATTACAACAAATAGGTCATATAGGTAAAATAACATACCAACAAAATTAAATTAATAAAACTTTGAAAGATCATGTTCATTTTGTGTACATGTTTCTACTTAAATACATGATAATATACATTATAAATCATTATGGCAATCAGTAAATAGTTTAGAATATTATATAGTTACGACATAAGAAGTGTAATAGATTGAGCATTACATCCGGCTAATGGAATTACTTATTGAGAATAGAATGACAAAAAATGCGTATGATTGCTCTGTTAGCGGTTTTATGTTGACATTATCATGTGTTTCTGTATTATTAACATATTATTTAATTCACGGATATATATATTGTTGTATTACTGTAAGTTTGTTTATTCAACAGGGGAGGATTGAGATCTCACAAAACATGTTTTCTGATGTAACTGCTCCAAGTCGGGAACCTCTAGCCTTTGTTAGTCTTGTGTTTTTTTTTTTTTAATAATTTTGGTTCATTTATATGTTTCGGAGTTTAGTGTGGCATCCATTTCGCTGAACTAGTATACATTATCGTTAAGGAGCCAGCTGAAGCCCGCTTCCGGGTGCGGAATTTTCTCGATGCGTTGAAGATCCATTGGTGGCTATGGGCTGTTTTCTGTTCTTTGTTGTATTTTTAACACATTTCCCGTTTCCATTCTCAATTCTATATTCTATTGATTCACATATACGGTATCCGAAATAAAAAGAATGTACTCAGTAAAAATTTAGATTGTAAAATTTTGGGGCAGGAGAACTGCAAAAAAAAAAAGTATGAAATTTTAGTAGAAATAGTTGAGCAAAAAAAAAAAATGAAAATAAAAATTCATGCAGCATTGTCTCAAATGGGAGTCCTCAATATGAAATATTCAGTTTAAGTATAAACAGACAACATTGACTTGAATTACCTCCTTCATTGACATCAAATGTATTATTTGTCATACGTTTTCAGGTAATAATAAATGTAAAATACTTAAAGTAATTGTGTGTTATTTCACAGTTTGTCCGTTTGGAGCCGTCCTTGTTGATTCTACAATAAGTTCTCATAAAATATCTATGGGTTTTGTTCTTGTAGTCGTATTTGTGATCTGAATAAAGGCATATTACTAATAACTAAAGAATAAATTCTCTTGGCGTTATTAAAAATTAGTTCCTTCTTTATTTATTGTGTTTTCTAATTATAAAAAAAAACCAAAAACAAAACAAGAACATAACTTTTCGTTCGGAATTGGACCAGTAAGAAATAGGGGCTTTAATTTGGCATTATGAACATCGAGTGCATCAAATTAGTCGCATTAAGTAAAATTCTGTGTCCCTTTGGAAATCATGAAAATACCCCTGCACAAAAAATAAAGAATACATGTAAATCAAAGATGAATATTTATTGAATAACCTTATCAAAGTGACTAATTGAGGTGAATTTGAATGTGGAAAACTATTCAACGAGTGATCGAACAACACATTAGTTCAGAAATACGCATGAGCGAATTGTCAGTGTTTTGTCTGTTTTTTTTTTGAAGATTAGTCAACTGAAACGAAGGTATCACAGGAATAACATTTCAAAGGGGCAATCAATGAACATTGTAATAAAGTGTTAGTGACAAAACATAAAGGGGTAACTATTTTGGAAACAGAGGGGTGGTCACGATGCCTGTGTTCTTTAGTACTATGAAATCTAAGCACCCCTCAAGTTTTTTTCGACACACCCGACCTGTTAAAGAGCGTTCGAGAAATCAACATCATACTCATGTTGTGGTAGCCTTCAATATATTAAGCATATACTTAGACGATGTTAAGGATGTAGGTTAGCAGTTTGGATAACACACCTCTCGTACATTCTTTACACAAGAACATACAGTTTGTATCAACGCCAATACTAGACAGATATAAGTAATGTTGTCTTATTCAAACAATTATTACGTAATCAAATTTTTGTAATAGAGGACATTGAATATCATAATTGATGTATATTACCTGCACAGTTTCCATGTCTTTTAAGCTTTTGAGACTACTTTCGTTTTTTATGGAATGTTATTAGTATATAACCCATGTAAATGCAGGATCTTTGCCAATTTATGTCCTTTTCAAATGATATTTTTAATAATCTATTTTTAGGTAAGCTTTGTAGAAGTGGGAAAAACCAACTAGCTTGAAAAAAACTATTTAAATATGTCTACCTTTTAAAATGTAATTGAAAAAAAGTTATTTATGTAGCGCTTCTTCATTTAATTGGAAAATAAGAAATACAAACAGTCTTGTTTTACAAAAAAAAAAAAAGAAAAAAAAAAAAAAGAAAAGAAATTAAAGCGAAGCTTTTAAAATTTTAGAAAAAAAACTACATCTGCATTGATTATTGATATTGTGCCACTCGTCTTCAAAGGGGCATTAGCTACGAATTTATAAAAAAAATCAATGAAATATGATTTTTTTTTCAAAAAATCATAAAAGCGGAATATAGAAATACTATTTCGCTATTAGCAGTCAGTTTGGTACAATTTCGTCAATTGCAAGTCAATGATTCAACTCAATGGAATACGTAATCATGCAACCTTTTGATTTCATTGCAGATGGGTGCACGTGTGTGCATCATGTTGTTTATTTATTAAAACATTGTAAGAATGACAACATTGAAAAGTGAAACAAGGAAGCCACCAGGAATAACCATTTCGTCGACGGATATGGCTAACACTCATTTCTGTACAGGTAAAACGATGATATACATATATTTTTAATCTATAAAATGAAATCAAACAAAAATAGATAAATCAAAGATTGCATATGCATGTCTGTTTATTTATATTTAGGTCTTTCAACTTTCCGTCCCCCCCCTTTTGTGGGAAAAATTTGGTTGATTATATAGGGAATCACTGATGCATGACTGGAGCGGCCCCTCCTTAGGTCAGTTATTCCCCTCCCCCCCCCCCCCTTACAAAACGTTCTTGATCCGCCATTGTATGATATCGAATAGTTTATACGCTTTTGAAACTGACACCGTCTAACCGAACAATTTTCTTTGTAAGAGTTATCTCCCCAAACACTGTTTTTTTTGTGATCTGTACTCCTTCGGAACCGTAAAAGAAATCGACAAATTTATTTTTCCAAATTGCTCGTTACATCCCTAGGATGTCGAAAATTGTTTTTGACCAAAGCAATCCGCAGACTCCATATTAGAGTTATTTCCCCAGATGTAATTGCTATAAGTGATATGTATTTGTAACTGGTAAACCATATGTGATAGAGACCTAGGGTCTTTTGATTTGAGGTTCAGTGTCCACCAAAAAAATGAGGTCAAGGTCATGTTCTAAATTGTGGCTAATTATAGCTTCTCATCAGAAACCGAATAAGATATCGACAAAATATTGTTATTAAATTGTAAGCAACGAAATGTCGCAACACATATACTTTGGTTGAAAGGGAACGCTGAAATTTAATAGTTTTCTCCCCACTTATATTTGAATAACCTATATGGTAATATAAGTCATTATCAATATATAGGAGAGATCTAGGGTCTTTTGATTTGAGATCCTTGCTTTATGGTCTTGAAATTTGAGTCAAGGTCAATGGTAAATTTGACGTCCTAGATTTTGACCTTTGCCTTAAATTCATATTTATACATGAGACGCAAGCAAGCAAAAGTATTGAGAAACCATATATTTTTGGAATCAGAGTAAAGTAAGCTATAATTTGATACCAGAAGTGACCTTGATTTCACCGGAAGGTGCTTATTGTGTCCAATAATCTATGAAAAAGTGCTTAAAACATTGTACTTTTTAGAATCAGTGTGTGGCAATCTATCTTTTAAGACCAGACATACTATTTTTATCTAAATTTTCTCATCTTAAGTAAAATTTGGGTGGAAAAACCTTCAATTTAATATTTTATTTGCGTTTTTTCTTTGCTTTTCCTGTACAGGTCCTTTGTAGGTTCTTTCTTGTAACTGGTTTTAAGCCACACATCGAGATTTACAGATTGAGTGGTGAGATTTTAGTGCCGCTACATCATATTGGTTTAAACATATTCATTCGTCATCATTACAAATATATCATCATACAAAATACACTATAATAATAGGATTCGGAAACAAGCTGTACATAGCTTATATTAATCCATTTCCTTGAAATACCAACTCCAATTAACGATTTCGAAACAATGCATGCAATGTAACAATGATATGGATTAAGAATAAATAAGTAATTACATAACACAGAAAGAAGGGGATAAAAATAGAATTTGAAAATAATGAAAATAATAAAAAAAAAAACAAAACAAGAAAAAAAAATTAATAAAAATACACTTAAATACTTCACAAATGTTCAGATGAAATGCAACTTTGTCAAAATAGTGAATAACAATACCATTACAACGCCACATCATATTCTTGTTCCAGAACCAAGTCAGAACCGCGTCAGTGATTGTTTCATGTCGCGTCTTCGCGCTTGTAGTCATCTAAGGGTGTTGATGGCAAATCTTTATTTATTTCTGATAAGGTTATTCAAAACTTTCAACTGTACATTTGTAAAGAGCTTGGCACATCACTTTTATCAAAACAATGAGAATGTAATACATCTATACCATTTAAATCCCTAACTAATGTAGTTATATGCTCATCGTACAAAAGTTTCTAAACAGCTATAGTGTTTTAAAATCTCTTTTATCTAATTTGTTTTTATTTCATATTTCATATTTCAACTGTCTTTTTTTTGTTTTTGGTAACATATCAGAAAAGTCCTTGTAACTGCCATGAATGAAGTAACATTGTGTTACAGATTTGGAAAAAGTGTTGGAAATTTACAAGGTTATGCAATGAGTTATAAAGCTTATAAAACATGAACACAACTCGTCATTATTGTTGTTAGAAACTTGATATTTTCTATGAGTCGATGTTTTCTTGAAAGGTTTATTTCCCAGGGACACTATAATTTCCCCAAAGAAATACGTCTTCGACGTTATCTTAATATGTTGTTTAAAGGGTGTAAATGTAAATTAAAAACAATTTATGAAAGCAGAATTCCATTTAACATAACTTTTAACTCACAAAAAACTAATGATATTTGCAGCTTTCTGTAAGTGGTTCCATTCGACCCACCAGAGAATTCAAACGATTTGCGAAGTCGTTCAACTTATTAGTTTCTGATTTACATAAAGTTAACCATGTAAATCTAACGTTAACTGCTTTTTATTTTATTTATTATCAACACCAGAAAGTAAGGATGTCAACTGGTATATATCATAAAGATATATTGCTTTTGAGTTCTTGACTCTATGGTGTTTTACGGTGAAGCAAAATTAAATCATGTCAATGATAAATATTTTTGAAATTTTGCTTAACAATCCACGACATTTAGATATTCTTCAGTATGAATTAATGAGATGTATGGTATACGTTAATGATCCAGCAACACAACAATACATAAATAAAGAAAACAACGAGGAGCACGTACAGAGACTTACCTTTGAATTTGTACTTCTAATGAGCTACTCAATGGATGCCACTGATGGAGAAGAATCTGCTTACCCTTCCGGTGCATTTCACAATATCTCCATTTTGTTGTTGGGTTCTTTTTGCTCAGTCTTTTATTCTATGTATATCATTTCGGGAACTTGAACGTCTTTCCTTTGTCTTTTTTCCCATGCATATGGCTTTGTCAGTTTCTCTCGATATTTGAGTTCTGAATGTCCACATGCCCATGTTATCGTTCGCCTCTTATATAGTGATTGGCATATTATATTAATTAAAAGATTAATCTCCGAACCACACTCTCTCAAGTCAAGCTGTAGATAAGGTGTAAACAATATGTTGTTTTAAGTTTATCCACTTGTTAAAAATTCCTACTTTGCAATTTCCATTTATTCAACGTTAAAAGTCGAAGATGACAATCCTAATTATACATGTTCTAGCTTCCTCTTTACAAAATAGCACAAGACAACATACAAAGAACAGGAAACAATAGTGCCTATATATATTTAAAAGTCAATCGGAAATCCTATAAAAAAACATAGTAGCAATTTTAGCTAACCTGCCAAAGAGGCCAATGTGAGCTTTTGCCATCACTTGGCGTCCGTCGTCTGTCATCGTCCGTTATCATTTACAAATGTATCCGATGATCCTGCAGTATGACCGCCAAGACTAGACAAAGAACATAGGGATTAAATACAAGTGATGTGTAATATTTTGAAAACCGTTATTGATACAAAACGTTCAGAATGGCAAGATCTGCATATTGGTTATTTCGGCCAAAATTGTCAGACAGTCCTTAAGGACGTTATTGCTCTTGAAGAACGATTTTTACATTTTTTAGGGTTTTAGTCTTTTATTTTTGAAAGATCGAAAGAAACTTTGAACGGCACATATGACCATTAAGATGGGATCTACAAATAATTTAACAAGACCGAAATTGTTAGTCGACGCCTCAAAGGAGTTTTACCCATAAATTTACGATTGTTACCATTTTTTGCGTATGATCTTAATAACTATAAAAGATAGAGAAAAGTTTGTAAGCAAATATGATCAGCTGGTCTAGGTCTACAAATTTGTCAACTAGTCGAACTTGTCAGTCGACTCATTATATAAGTTATAGCCCTTGATTATTGATTTTTACCCTTTTTGTCCATGATAATTTTACATATAAATATACGCGTTTTCTCTAAACTATAAAAAGTGTTTATGGAAAGGTGATAGAGCTGGGCAATAAAGGCAACAGTAGTATACCGCTGTTCAATATTCATAAATCGATTTAACTGAAACAAATCCGGGTCACAAACCAAAACCGAAGGAAACACATCATCTATAAAAGGAAAACAACGGAACAACATAAACACTGAACTGCCACAAACGCCACCATGCATAGAAACAGGGTATTTGATAACAACTGTCATATAAATGACATTCAATTTTGGCCGAAATGACTTAAGAAAAAATGGTGGGTTGAACCTGGTTTTATGGCTAGCCAAACCTCCCACTTATATGGCAATGTTAAAAATACCGCTAAAATGACAGCATTACGTGACAGGAATACATTACAACTAAACGCAAGAACACTCAGGACAGAGACATACAATTATATACAAAGTAAATTAAATGCCTTTAGGTACACTGATTTTAATTAAAATATGTACAAAACATAATGATAAGCTTGAAATTACCCTTCGTCCAGAAGCATTTATTGTCATAAAC